CTGGCACACTAATCATTTCTATAGTTCCAGTGCAACTCGAAGAACTAAAATGACTACACTTTTAACATATTAATTTGTATTAGTAGAGTATCTTCAAAGCAGAGTCATATGTTTACAGTACATTTAAATTTCAACAGCACTACATATTACAACAAAAGTATGTATCGATAACTATTGAATCAGTAAGACGACCCACAATTCTTAACATAAGAAATATTATACCAGATCAGACCTCTGTTCAATTTAATGAAGTCCAGTATACTGCTTCTGAAAGTGGAAGATACCAGATGCTTCAGAAAAATATACAAGAAGCCCAGAAGTGCAAAACTATGAAATTGCCCATAATGGAAATTTCCTCCTAACCCTTTCAAGTTAGTAGTTGGTTTATGAGCTGGAGCATTTTTGTATCCCTATTTTTAAAAAAATCCTGTATAATATAACTGTAGATGTTATTCATAGCATATGCTGACCTTTCGATAGTGACCACTTTTTACCACAATCATCTTGACTTTGGAGGAATATGGGCAGATGAAGAAAAGGGAAAATGGAACTAGCTGCAGTAGAACCAGAGATGCATAATCAGGTCTATTTCTTATGCCCACTCGTGGATGAAGGGTTATTTCAGAATGCAAAGCTCAGAAAGGAGGTGGTTTCTGTGCAGGATATTAGGAGGAAGTGTAAGTTAAATGAACTGGGTCAGCACAGGGTTCCCATTTTGTTACTAGAAGGAAAAAACCTGGCTCTTCTGTAATGTCAGGAGTCAGATCCTCAGTTCCTGTAAATCAGTGTAACTCCACTGAAGTCAATGGTGCTAACTGACTGATACCAGCTGAGGATCGGGCCCCCGGTCGTCAAGTCCTTTCTACATCTCTTTTGTCCTAAAAGAGAATTGACAAAACTACCATGACTTTAATGGAGATCCCTGGCATGGATTCTGAGCTCCATTACCAACGGTAGCAAAACTGAGACCAAGGTTTCAGGAACCAACGTTTAGCTTTTCCCAGAAGAGGCTCTGGTGCCACACTCTGAAGAGGAGTAATAAGGGAAGTTGCCATGCTAGGGTTCACCAACAAGACGGCAACAAAAACAGCCCACAGGTACCAACAGAGGCACCAACACTAACAACAGTTCCTCACTCCTCTCAACATGGAAGGGAGTATCAACGGAAGTTGATGCCAACACATTCACAGTCCTCCATGTCAATGAGACAGACACATAGGTATCACATGAGCTGATTTTAACACTGAAGAGCTGCTGGGCAAGAAACCCTGTGCTCTGCCTCCCCTTCTTTCTCCCCCTCAACAGGGGAGAGAACAGAGGAAAACTGTGTGGTCACTGGATTTTCTCCAGAAACACTAAGCAATGCAGGAAGCAGGTGAGAAGTCTGACCCAGAACTGGGGGTGTGGGTAGAGCAGCAAGAGAGAGGAACAAAGAGTTAAGGGTGGGGAAGGAGAGACAGGAGATGAAGGTGTCACCTATGAGGGCATGGAGAAGAAAGGAAAGGAGAGTGCTGAGAGTTGCAAAAAAATAGTCAAAAAAGGTTGATAAATTGGAGTTCTTAAAGACCCAGTTGTGCAATCAGGGGGCATGTGACCGATACTGAAGGAAATAAGGTGGTGATCAGAAAGGAGAACATATTGAATGAAAGATCCAAGTGGGAGCAGTGCTTAGAAAAGACAAGGTCCCAGGAGTCACCATGATGGTTGATCCAGGGCGGTAGGTCAAATGAGGTTAGGAAGAGGAAGAGAGAAGCAATAGAATCAGATGGGACAACAGAGTGAAAGCTGAAGTTAGAGGATTTGATAGGTAAAATGGCAGCTCAGGCTAAAGGGACAAATCTAATGAAGACTTAACAACTGGCCTCAAACCCTTGAACAAACAAGCGCCTGAAGTACTTGAACTGGAGGCAAAACATCCTCCATGTATGTACCCACTACCCTAGGCACTGACTCTAGTCCTGGAGCTCCCATGTAAAAATAATGGTGGGTGCTGAGCACTCACCGGCAGCCCCCCTTATCAGCTCCTCCCCCACCCTCAGCACCTCCCACTTGCTGGCGGCCCTGCCAATCAGCGCCTCTCCCCACCTCCCCCCCAGCGCCTCCCGCCCTCCGTGATCAGCTATTCCACAGCATTCAGGAGGCGCTGGGGGGGAGTGGGGAAGGAATGAGTGCAGGGGGAGGGGGCAGAACAGAGTGGGAAGAGGTGGGGTGGGTGTGGGGCCTTGGGGGAAGGGGTGGAGTGGGGGCAGGACCTGGGGCACATTAGAAAGTCAGCACCTCAGCATGCTACAGCGAATGCAAAGGACAGTTCATTGACATCAACCTCCCAAAAATAAAATTGGCCAGTTAATTTAAGAACAATTTCTTAAAGTTTATTTTATTGACTGAAGTAAATCCTCAATCCTTTTAAATAGCTTCATTGAAACAGCTTGCTTTGGCATACATTTAAAAAATTAGACACCTTGCGATTATTATCCTTGAAAGATAATTAACCAATTTAACTTAAATAGATACATTAAAACAAATTACACAGACATGTCAAATAGATGGATTCTTTCCTGCAACTAGGACTGTTTTTGTTTATTTGTTTGTTTTCTCACCTTTTTTTAATCAGTAGTACTCTTCATCTGTAAGCATCACACTAAATAACATCAGAAGTGTAATTTTCATTACTCTGGAATTGCACAGACATATAGGTTGGGGCCCGACCCTGCAAAGACTTACTCACGTGTTTAATTTTACTATGAGGAGTAGTCCCATTGATTTCAATGGAATTACTCAGAGGAGGAAAGTTAAGCACAAATATAAGTGATTGCAAGATCCAGGCCTCAATGTTCTATTATTGCAAATATTTCACCTGAAATCATCACTTGTTCAATGCAGATTTTTGCTATCAGAAGACCAGATATAATGCATGATAAAAAAAAAAGTGGGAATTAAAAATGCTGCAAGATTTATTTATTATGTCAACGGCATTTGCATGTAGAAATCTGAAATTGTGTTGGGGGTAGGGGGAAGAGAGGGCAGATCAGTTGAGAATTTCAAGCAGACCCTTTTCCGGTGCATAATGCTTTATTATAAAAAGTTAGGAGTACATAATTCTCTGTAATATGATACGGTGATGATACAGTAATTGCACATTTATCCCTAGATCACTCACAGTAACTTCATTTTACTTAATCAGAAAATGGTTGTTACCACAAGACGTGGATTACATTTGCAGAAAAGTGGACTCAATGATCTAATGCATCTTCTTCATCTCTAATGTCTATATCTTATGTTGTTTTCAACTTCAAAATACCATGTTTATTAACTGTGCATTTACTGCATATCAGCACTGTATTTACCAGCACCATTCAATACTGACACATACAGGACTTTCAAAAGGAGAGGTCTTTGGCTCCCCAAGACACCGTAGCCCATTTTCTCATACTCCACTTACTGTCATCATGTTTCTGAAAAAGCACATCTTGACTTCCATCAGGCCAGTAATAATTCCTGCTGCACTCAAAATTAAGGAGCTTTTACATAATTTGACTTTGTTCCCAAACTGCTTGGGATTTTGTAAAAATAGTCAGAAGAAGAATATAAAAGGAGTACGAGTTGATTGTTATTAATTTATTATTAATAATTATTAGTTATTATTTTTGTTGTTGTAATTCTTTTCAATTGTAAAAGATTTCCACATTTCCATCTGAAGGCTATTTTGGACAAATTATGATCCACTGAAATCCCTAACTCAGCTTCTTTCCCACAGACATATAAAGACCCAGCTAACAAACAGGAAACAGAATAGGAAAAAAATCAGTTCTTCAAGAGCATATTTTTATATTGTCCTATAGAGTACTTTTTTTTTTTTTTTTTTCAAAAGTGGATTCATGTCAGTTTCACTGAATTGTTCGTTCACCTCAAAAAAGCAAAAGAGTTCCAAAGAAGTTTAAATGTTTCACTTCAACAGTTTCAAAATGAAAACTTTTTTCAGTTCAAAAGTTATTTTGTTTTGAAATTTTCTGCATTTTTTTAAAATGCAAAAACATTTTTTAAAAATGCTCAAAATCTAAATGAAACATTTCATTTTGGGTGGAATGAAACCCTAAAGTTCTATGGCTTGTGTTAAGCAGAATGCCAGGCTAGATTAGCACAATGGTCCCTACTAGCCTTAAATAGATCTATGAAATAGACATGAAGACTCCTCAGAACCACTGAAGTTTCTTGACAACAGTTCTAAATGCCTTTTATTTCCACCCCCACTCTCACTGGGGTGCTTATTCTATTTATTTCAGGTTGGATTTTTCTATATGATAATTGGGTCTCAGAAGCTCAGCGATTGCTACTTTCCAGAGTCAAAACTCTTCAGCAAAATGAAAATGGGGGTGGCAAGTTTATACAGCCACTTGCAATATTTCGGAGTCGCCACTTTAAACATAAAAATAGAATTGCACACATTTGGGGCCTGATACTGCCACAGTGGCTGCCGTGAGAGTGTAGAGAACATCTCCTAGCAGGTGCTCATGACCTCAAGTAATCAGATGCTAAATGATCATGTATGGTATTATGTTGTGCTTACTCTCAGGACTGAATTATTAGTGTCTTTTTAGGCCTATAGCCCTCCTCAGCAGTGATGCAGCTTATTGCCTTGATGTAGACTTGTGAAGCAGTTTGCTAATTTGTGTGTCATTTTATCAAAACAAAGATGTTTTCTCTCTGTCGGTTAAACAAACCCATCACAAAACACACAGAGTGGTGAAGAAAACCCAGGTCTCAGATTTGGAAAACATAGCAAAATCGATGCAGAGCAGCTGTAAAAGCTGATATTAGTCCAGGAACCTGCTGAGCCAGTCACCATCTCTAGGCAATTACGACTGCTATAAATTCCTACTAAGCTTTTCACTCCATACGTTTATAGAAAGATGTTAAATAAAATATATTTTATCAACGCTGTAAGGGAATAAAAACAACTTTCAATAAAAGAAACTGATTCAGTTTGTTCTTGCCCTTACCTCCCCTGCATGGCGAGTGGGCTGAAATCTTTCCCAAGGGGAACACAGCAATCCTGCCCTATTGCTCCATTTTGATAGGGCTTTTGTGGCTGTCCCTGAACAGACACCATTCCATGAAACTCCTTTAACAGCCGCAGCTCATTGAAGTTGCTGGCAATTGGTTCAGCTGCCACCTTCCCGTGCAAGTTAGCATTGTGTGGAGAGGATGTCTGACTCAGCTCCATCTCTAGATTTCCAGAGATTGCTCCATCATCTTTGCTATCCAAGTACATATCTTTTGACTGGTTTTCTATCCTGAAAAGAGTGAAAACAAATCTATTAGGACCATACTGAATACACACATTTTATATCTATCCCCAGGCACACATACACGTGTGTTGATATCCAGGTATTAAAATGCCATTGGACATACTATATTTATCTTGCACTTTTGACTGCCTTACCTGTAGTCTGCTTGGTAATTCATCTCTACCAGAAATACTTTAACATTTGAAAACTCTGAGCAGCTTCAAAAACAGCCATCATTTAAAATAAATACATAAAACAGCCTGCCGGACATCGCTATTCTTCTCTTTACCCAAATATGGAATTTCCCCAAAAAACATCTTCTCCCAAATTAAAACACACTGGTTTATCCTAGAGAATGAACTATATTCATTGCCACGGCAGGTTTGAGCTCTGACTGACACTGTGACCATTAGAATGAGAAACAGGTGCCCGTACAACACCGTCAGCAAGGTAGATGTGATACAGCACATACTTCTAGCCCTGTTTTTTACCTCAGAAACACTTAAGCCCCAGTCCAGTAAGCTCTCTGCATGTATCCAGCTTAATCAGCAGGAATTGTGGACCATTATGAGTGTAAGAGGGTCTCAAGGACAATTAACAACCAGACTTTCCTTTCTTTTCTTAAAGGTGCCACAGGACTCTCTGTTGCTTTCTGATCTGGCTCCTTTGTGTTGCTCATCTGACACAAAGGAGCCAGATTCTAACTGTAACCGGCCAACTGAGAGGTCTCCTAGCAGCAGGGAAGCTTTAGAGCCAACTCTTGTTCCAACCACTCCTCCCTTCAGCATAGGACGGGGACCAGAAAGGAGCTGATTGGAACTATGTTAAACCAATCCTCAACAGACAACACATTGCTGACATAAGTTAGAGCAGCCCCTGGGCTGACATAGATCGGCCACAGATCAGGAAGAGTTAACTTTCTCCCTGAGGCTCCATCTCCCAACCCCCACTTTGTGCTGAGCTGATCTAGGACAAAGGAGAGAATCCAGCCCTCTCTGGATATGACTTCACCAGAGAGTTAACTCGGCTCTTACTCGGGTATTGCCCCAACTCCCCTCCCAGACACACACAAAACCTCTCACCTGAGTTTGGTGGTGCTTTCAATCCAGGCTAGCTGGCCTGGGTGGAGCTACAGGCTAAAGCCCAGTTGCCACTTTCACTCAGGCAGGTCACTTGCATGCTTTACAGTGAGGACACAGTTTAAACCATTTTAGTGCTGATAGTCCTCCTGTACCTTTTCACAATTCCCCCATGTCCCCAGAAGGACAGATCACAATTCACTGGGAAAGAATCATAGAGTAGCTCAGCTTACTGCAACACAAAGACCCAGCAACACACATGGGTGAGTACAGCACCAGTAAGGACACATTTCAGAGTAGCAGCCGTGTTAGTCTTTATCCGCAAAAAGAACAGGAGTACCTGTGGCACCTTAGAGACTAACAAATTTATTAGAGCATAAGCTTCCGTGGGCTACAACCCACTTCTTCGGATGCAGTAACTTGCATGTGGCTTTGCAGTGTGGCTCCTCAACACCAGGGCACCAATCACCTAAGTTAACTCTGCAGAGAAAACGCATCCTAGCGTCCAACCCTGCAGCCTTTATAGGCACAATAGAAGTCAATAGTTAGTTCATGTAAGGACCTAAGAAAAGCAAATGATAATGCAACTTGAGAAAATCAAGGGCAATATATCACTAGGACCAGATGATACTTATTCAAGCTTGTCAAATAATACCACATTGAACAATACAATACAAAAGCGATTCACAAATATTTTTGTGAATATATGTGGCAAATTTGTACTTCTGTTATTCATGGGGTCATAGAAATCATCAAGTTCATGAGGATTTGGATTACTGGCAAGTTTATTCAAGAAAACATTCATAGGCCCTGCGAAGTACAAGCGATTATTCATATTGGAAGTGTGATATTCATTGTGTCCATATTTCTTTTGTTATTCATTATTCTGACGTTAAAAGTTTCAGTCGTCCAATCAGAGAACAAAAAGATACCATGCGTCATGCAGAAGGTGACTATCCAATACAATTCAATAAATAATAGCAAATAGTGAAGACATCGTGAACAATTCAGATGTTGAAATTTGTTCACAACAACTGTCTACTCTAGTGAATACTTAAATACCTTTGTAGGAATCAGGATTGGTTTGTGAGAAATACATGGAGGAAAAAAGGCTAAATTAATCAGATAATATATTCGCTTGTATTTATTTTAGAGATCAGACGGAAACAGAAGAGTGAAGCAGTAGCACTATGGAAAAATATATTGAACACTGGAGGCTTCAAATTCAAAACAAACAAGCAAATACATAAAAAGTTAAAGTCAGGCCCATTAGAATTCTTGGAAAGATTTACCTAACACACTTGGACACCGCAGTGACGGGTCTGGTGTAAAAGCCTGGATAGAAACACCAAATGTGGAATGAAAAGAGACAGTCAATGGATACAGTTTCAAAGAGCCTCGCATGAGAGTATTAAGAGAAATAAATAACCCACAAGCTAAGGGCTAAACTCAGATTGTGAGTTAAAAACTGGCTAACAAAGAATATGTAGTAAGAAATGGATGCTTCTCAGAATGGAGGAGTCAGTCTAGTCACATACATGGTTTGGTAACAAGGGTACTGTTTTCCTGGGAATTAATAATTTGGAAGAGAACATAAAATGATTAAGCATTACCTGGGACACTAAACCATTCTAAATCAGCTCCCTGGAGTCTATAAACAGAGTGGTCCATAATAATGCTTAGCTGAGACACACCTGCTGCAAACTTGTATAGCCATGCTATGAGATGTAGTATCTGGTCTTGCCTTCCCGTACCACCAACACCATCAACTGGTTTGGGACAAAATACAGGAGAATTCAATAGCTTACCAGAACATAGAAAACAATAGTGTTACATATATAGTGCTCTATATCTGTGCATACATAAATAGTTTATGGATAACATGACAGTATATGGCACTCAAGAATATGCAGCATAACTTCTGAGTTGTGTAGGACCAATAGAACTTCTTGTTGAGCGCTGCAAATGGCTTCCTCTAGCAGTTCTTTATATCAGCTCTTAACATGACATGAGAAGTAAAATAGAGCACTGTGTGAGCTGTTACAGGGCAGGAAAACTGCATCTGTGATCCCCGTCTGTGGTCCACCAAGGGCATCCATTCCAGGCTCCCGGCTCCTCAGCTGTCACCTCTCTTGGGCAGAGACCCGCATCTCTCTCCCTCTTGACAAGGAGCTTTCCAGCCTATACAGTTCCCTACACAGTGATATTCCCAGCAAGCCAGGCTGCCTACAAGGCTAGTGTCTGGGCTTTGCTTTCCCCTGCAGAGGTTGTGAACACTGTAGTTGCTGGCAGTTATAAGTTACCAAGCAGCTCTTTATAAGCAAACACATTTAGTCTTAAAGGTAAAAGGCATTGCAGTGAAAACATATTAAAACAAGGAAAGAACCCACACGCATGGTAAAAAGCTTACTGGGGTCACTCCAGCTCCACCTCGGGCTCTGATAGGTGTCAGTCCTTCAAAACACCCAGCTGGGTTTTCCTCTTGATTACAAATTCATAACTGTCTCAGATTCAGAACCATAACAGTTCAGTCTTTCTTTTATACAGCTTGTGCCTCTGATCTTGGTCTCGTAATTGGGGATCAGAAGCCACAGGCCCACTCCTCAGGAGCATAGCTTCAAAAGGCTGGGTTTTTTCCATAATTGAAGGTGGGGAATTGCATTCACCTCCCCCAAGATATTCCCCAGGAAAACCACTTAATGCTTTTTTTTGTTCCAAGAGTCCACTCTTGTCTGGCACATTGTTCAGTATAGTCCTTTGAACCGCCAAGTCTCACATCAGTCACATCTCCCACTTCTAGAGGCTTCATGCAATCCCGGCCCACAACGATACATAAACCATTCATTTCATACAATGAACCCCAAGGATACTTAACTTTAATTCTATTTGGTCTCCCAAGGATATTGCAAGAAATTGCCATGTCAATTACATGAACAGAGAGAGAACAAGGCTGAGAATAGAAATACAGATTGCCACGTGTGTAGAAAAACACAGTGTGTCGCAGTTTAACAGATAGTCTGGGACTAGGTCTACACTGGGGGGGGTCGACCTAAGATACGCCGACTTCAGCTATGCTAGTCACGTAGCTGAAGTTACATATCTTAGGTCCATTTACCTGGCCGCGAGGACAGCGGTGAGTCGACTGCTGCCGCTCCCCCGTCCACTCCGCTTCCGCCTCACGCCACGGTGGAGTTCCGGAGTCGACGGCAGAGCGATTTTATCGTGTCTACACTAGACGCGATTAAATTGATCCCCGGTAGATCGATCACTACCTGCCGGATCGGCGGATAGTGTAGATGTACCTTTGGTTTCAACTTGGCATGGACAGGAGAGAAAAAATAGTTTAGTTGCAGAAAGCGATTAAGTGGCTCACTAGTTCTACAAACCACATTAGGCTATGTCTTCACTACCCGCCGATCCGGCGGGTAGCAATCGGTCTATCGGGGATCGACTTACCGCGTCTCGTGAGGACGCAGTAAAATCGATCCCTGATCGCTCTGCCGTCGACTCCGGAAATCCACCTCGGCAAGAGGCGGCAGCGGAGTCGGCGGCAGCGGTCGACTTTCCCCCGTCCTCACCGCCAGGTAAGCCGACCTAAAATACGCAACTTCAGCTACGGTATTCACGTAGCTGAAGTTGCGTATCTTAGGTCGGAACCCCGCTGTAGTGTAGACCTAGCCTTAGAGGCCTTCCCTTGTCATTCACAAAAATAATCAAATGGAAAAAGCATCATCATTTTTAATATTATCATATTCCACTTTGCTATCCTGTTTGTTTCTTCTGCACATTACTGCTACCAGACAAAACACAAACTCATCAACTCAGAAACAGTATAGATGACACCCCCATGCAGTTTCTTCTCATGTCATATTAATACTAATTCACCACTGCCTTTCTACTGCAGCCACAATACTTGTTAAAGCAACT